AAAAAAAAAAAAAAAAAAAAAAAAAAAAAAAAAGTTTGTTAGAGAGGATCTAGCTGCCAGGCCATTCAAACAATCAATAGACAAAGGTTATAAGTATGCTGCAGGAAAATAGTATCTGAAAAACAGCTTACAGAGAAAAACCTAGCCATATATATCATGGTAAGTTTGCATTAAACTCTGCTACTGCCAACACCTCATTACCTACCAAAACTGTAGAATGACATGTTTCCTACAGGGCAACTTAAGAAAAAACGAAGAATAATAAAAATAAATAACAGACAAATGTGAGTGAATTCAATTTACAAATTTCATAGACATTACAACTCTCGTCAAAAAAGAATTAAATTTTAAACAGTAAACTAATAAAACCTAACGAGATGTTCTAATAAACTGGTGACATCCTTGGGAAGATTTTTTTACTCATATATCAATTACTCAGCCAAGTACTTATTTCCCGCATAACTAAAAGTATCCTCATTTCAAATCAACAGCTGTTCTCCAAAAGAAATAATCACTACAATATTATGCTAATGAGTTTCAGACTAATAATTCGTCAATAGGTTGGTCTTTTTTCCGAATAAACTTTTAGAAGAAATAACTGATTTGATTTACGTGTACTAAAGTTAATCAAATTGTTTTACATTTCACTTCCAAACTCAAGTTTCACCAAACCAGAATTACCTCCGACAAAAAAATAAGATGTATACAAAGCGTATGCTACCGTCGGGGCATGCATAAACGCGTTGCAAGGTGATTAAACAAAAACATAATTACCACTGTTGAAAAAAAAGACCAAAGTGCTCACATTAACCTTTACAAAGCAGAGTCAGGATCTCCAAATGAACAGACACAATTTTGAGTAACTTAATAAGTCCACAATTCCAAAATGTTTTCTTCTGAGAAGAGTAATGAAATCTTCGTGGATAATTAACAACCTAATAGTTAAAAGTCACAGATTCATAAAAACATAAACACTGCTTAGAAAAGATGTCTAGATTTTATGAAAATTTGCTCTACTACTCAGGATTGCGGTTATAAACTGCTAAGCTTCAAAGTTTCTTAAATTTAGCTGAAAGAAAAGAATATACCTTAACAAGATAAGAGTGACAAAAGAAAACAACCACGCAAAATCAAAGTACAATTATATCAGATAACCCTATCTTCGACAGCACTTTAAAGCCATGTCTATGATGACGGTTACATTTTTCATTTTGAAGTTTCCAGTATCCCGTACCAAAAACTCGAACGAATTTCAACCGTTTCAGAAGCAGAAACCCACTGATAAAAAATTCAAAAAAAAATGTCAGAAGTAATAACACCGTCTTTCACTAAACGTCATCAGATATAAATGCAAAAATTCTACCAAATAAAAACTGTCATTTCTTATAGCCTATCTGTTTATTAACATTTCCATTGAAAATTTGTATTTATTTACTCCTTAAAGGATGTTAAGAATATCCTTTTATATAAGAGTATAAAAATTTTTAAAACTATTGTTTCAACAAATAATTCTCTAAAACTTTAATTTTCCTTTTTTGGCTTCATAACCACTAAATCCAAACAATAAGCCTCTTCATATTTTCAGAATTTTATTATATATAGAGGTTTACAGATAAAACATTCTCTGAAAATCAGTTAAATTTCATGGTCTCTTTCCTTCTACTGAAACATTTTTCACTGCAAACAACTTTAGCATTGAAGATTCATGTAAATGGATCCCTCAAAAAGAGCAGTGGTAAATTATAAGAGCTCTGACAGTTATCAATCAGATTCACTCCAACAGATAAATTTGCATATCTGAAACATTTTAGACTAAGCTTTATTACCGTATTTACTTCACCAGAATAATACTTCACTGAAATTAATTCATCTAATACGCAGCTCCGGCATTTTATTACCAATCTTCAAAACTAAGAGGGTAAGTCCAAGATATGAAAAAGCATAACTGAATAAGCCGACTACTGCCAAAAAAACTTAACTCACAGGGCAATTCGGACACAACATAGATGTAAGAATGTCGTCTTCAGGATCGGTGCACCTTTCACAACAACAATCAAAATACCACGTATCCTTCAACAATTTATGTCTTTGCTGTTTGGAACTGAAATATTGCGTATATCAAGGCAAAGCTGTTAACATACTCAGTAAAAAGTCCAAGAGAAAAGTAAAAAGTTTGTCAGCCTAAATTAACAATATTTTACTTATGCAAACTTGCCTGCATTGCATATTCATTATACAGTACCTTAAAAGTTCAATATAAGAGTAGAAAGTTTTGCTCCTGTCATAAAGGTTTACGTTAGTATCGAGAGCTCGTAAAGTTGCTACGAAGCCATTACAGGTGTAGATACAATTTGGACGACAACTATGATCATATGCACACAAATCCAAGTAGAGTCCCTTACCAATTTCCTGGAACAGCCTGTTAAACAAAAAAATATTAAAATTCCTCACTTAATTTTTGTAACTCTTTGTTATGTCCTCTTCACAACAGTGTTTTAAACTAAATAACCAAAAAACATCAGTCAAAATATAATTCCTTTCGCAGATTTTAAGTGCAACTCACTTAACCTTCTTGATAGAAGAAAAATCTTTAATCTGAATGATAGGGAATCCAAGACCACATTGACATATCTTACTTGTAGATATGCTCTATCATTGATCGCGTGCCTGTTAATAAAGTCACGACAATGAAGTTCGAAAACTTCCTCCTTGCTTAGTAAATGTTTCTTCCCATAAAAATTGACCAATTTCTCGTAAATTTCTTAAAAAAACTCAATTATTCCCCCAAATTCAAACACTTGACAAAGAGCTACGTCTAAAATAAAAAGTAACCTTGAAATTTTTTCATTGCTAAAGCATCTTGACGAATCTTATCGGTATGGGCCCATATTTCCATCAAAGTACGTTTTGAAGTCCTATCCAAATAAAAATTTGGAACCGCTTTATCCTTTCCATCTTTGATTGCCTAAAGTTTTCACTCTAAAAAGTCACGCAAAAACAAACCAGCCAATAAGCATAAACGTGTCAACAACGGTTCATTAGACATTTGAACAGAAAAAAGCAAGAGAAAAACAATCATAAAATAAATCTACATTAAAAAAAATTAAAAACGACCTTAAACCTCACAACAATCCTTCCTAACAAACGAACTTCTATGTTAGGAACACTAAGAGAATTTTTAAGACCTTTGCACTCAACCCGATGGTCCTTCCAGCCGAGCAGCTGACAGTCATGGTTGCAAAAATAAGCGCAACTACAACCTGTGCATCTCCTGCAAATAACGACTAAGACATCAATGAATGCTGAAGGGTAAGGACACAAACAAAGACAAAAATATCTCACTTTAAAGCTGATGATTCTGCAAGGCAGTACCAACAGTGTCCAGTCAGAAACTCGTTGAATAAAGCATACGCAAACGGATAAAACTTAATTCTCAATCGATTTGACTCGTTAACATCTGTGGCACTGTCATGATCATTCCAGTTATTTTCTATTTTTTCCGTCAGTTCAGTCATCTCCAGTGTTTCACTATTAGAATTTAGTATGGCATTTCTACCCTGGAAAATAAGGCACTGTTACATTCTTCAAAAACCTAATTCGTAAGCAAAATGCTAAGACAAAAAATGAAAAAGGACCCATTTTCATGAAAATGAAAATAAATATTGCAGTGTAAACATTTTAAATCTTAAAGGTGTTCTAAAAAAAGATGACTTTTAAGGTAAAGGGGCTTTTTTTGGCAGTTAATATAAAAGAAAACGAAAAATAGTTTCAGTATGAGGGAAATTCTTAACCAGTTAAATAACGACGGGAGAACAAAAAAAATTTTTTAGAGAAATAATCTCAGCAAATTTTTACAAGCACGTAAACCGGGTAATCGGTGGATAAACTCAACCTTAAGCACCTTAGACTTCTTGTGTACTGTCATCAAAACAGATTATACCACTTTCTAATGATACGTGCAATGAGGTTAAAAACAATTATTAGTACCTACTATAGATATATACAACGATAAAAAACAAGTGAAATCAAGGAAGAAGTAATATAAAAATGTATACCTCTGTAAATTTCACGGGAAAATAGAAACACGAACATCGATGAACAATTTAGCAAAAAAAACCGGAAAATCAATAGCAAGAAGATAAACACAGACGCTTTATTACAACCAAATAAACCAGGGCATCGGAAAACTGATATACACTACTAGTTTCAAAATAAATGAAGATTTTATAATAAACTACCAGCTAGCGCCACTACCTTCATCAATAAAATGACCAAAAAAAACATGGTACAGAATGGAAGATTCATCACGCCGGACCATTAGCCGCGAGCAAAGAATTAAGGAACTGGACAGAAAGCGATCGAATAAAAAGCGCAAAATGCAAGGCCGACACAAGGAGGGAGCTCTTTAGTTCGCTGTGTAGGAAAAGGCTAAATGCGCAGCAACAGCAGGAGCACCAACCAACAGGCAGCAAGCAGAAAGCGACGGCAAATTCACCAGCAACAATGCTTCTAGACTACTGAAATAATCCTATGGTCTATACAGAACTCAAATGATAATTTTATCTACCTTGCTTCATTTCTTCTTTGTCCTTCTCTCTCACCCTCTTCTCATCCCTCATCCACTTCAGTAATGTACTACTGGCGAAATTCTTTCCTGAACACTTCAGATATCTGTACAAGTTTTCTTAACTGTAATGCCAAACCAAATCTCCTGTACATGAAACGTGGTACCAAAATAAAGATAAAAAAAATTTAAATCCTTCTTTGCGGTAGATGACGAAATAACTGGTCCACCTCAGCATTTTCTTAAGTGTAACTGTGTTTCTTTTTATTTGTTTTTGCTGTTGCAAAATGAAAGTAAGATGAAGTGAATAAACGAAGAGAAATAAACATGCACTTTGTCACTGGACAAAGTTAGACCTATATACCTATTCATCCGTCTGTCCAGTAAACCTGCAACTACTCTCATTTGTGTGAACCATATACACAGTGATAGGAAAAAAATCAGTTTATCAGCAGAAGCGTATAAACAACTGAACTGCAGGCAAATGTAACAAGTATTTCAAAAGAATAAACAAGTAATAAACGGGAAATGAACCTCAGTTTTCATAACTAATTATTATAATGAAAAAATAAACCAAAACAAAACAATAAAACTAATGTTGACACCTGACATTTATGCTGATAAAGACAACTACAAAGAAATCTCCCGAAATCTTGCCGATACAAATCTTTGATCTGCAATTTCTTTTTCTTCTGATCGCAGTTAATCATCAAGGAATAATAAAAAGGGAAAAGAGGAGGAGGAAAAAAAAATAAGAGAATTTTTCTTAATTAAGAAGCATAAATAAAAAAACTAGCGGTACCTGTAACAAATTATTTCCGATGACCGTATAACTTGCATTGAAATATATACCTACAATATTTCATTCGAAATTGAACAATCGACCACTGCCATCAAAAAATAAATAAATAAATAAATAAAT